AAGAAAGAAAGAAAGGGTATTAAAAAAGAAAAAAAGGAATTAAGAAAGAAAGAAAGGGAAATAAGAAAGAAAGAAAGGGAATTAAGAAAGAAAGAAAGAAAAGGGAATAAAAAGAAAGAAAGGGAATTAAGAAAGAATGACAGAAAGGGATTAAGAAGGAAAGCAAATGGATTAAGAAAGAAAGACGGAATTAAGAAGGAAAGAAAAGGGATTAAGAAAGAAAGAAAGAAAGAAAAGAAATTAAGTAAGAAAGAAAAGGAATTAAGAACAGAGAAGTAATTAAGAAAGAAAGGGGATTAAGAAAGAAAGACAGAAAGAAAGGGAATTCATAAGAAAGAAAAGAAATTAAGAAAGAAATAAAGAAAGGAATTAAGAATGAAAAAAGAAGAATTAAATAAATGGAAAAATATTGAGAAATTGAGGGAGAAGAAAAATGGAAAAGAAAATTAGAGAAAGAAAGAAAAGGATTTAATAACTTCAAGAAAAGAAGAAAAAAGATTAAAATGAAAAGAAAACCATAGAACATTTGAAACCCAAAAAACTGAATAAAAGAAGGAAGCCATTTTGAACACTGATCAGCAAAAGAAAAAAAAATGTTTTTTAGCAATCATTTTTTTCTTTAAACATATTATCTGACTGCAAAATAAATATTAATCTAATTAAAACATAAAATGAACCAATATAATTAATTTTAAATTATTTTCCAATTATCTTGTTTGTTTTGGTATAATCTAAATACATTTATCCCTTGATAGTCATAAATATTTAATTGCAGGACCCCATGCAGATACCAAATTCTGCATACACTCAAATTTATTATCTCAAATGGTGTTGTTTATATAAAGCCTATACGCTTACATCCATAAACTTTAATCATCTCTTGATTACTTACCATCTACATTGTACTAGATATTATATGTAAATAATTATTATACTGTTTTTTTTTATTTGTTTTGTACAGCTTATCAACCTTTTGCATGTTATTTAAAGCCAGAGAATATTTTTAGATTGTAAGAATTTTTGGGAGATAATTGTAGTAAAAACAGAACCAGTGAATAAACTTATACCAAAGCTTTATTGCACATTACTTTGACTACTTGTCTACTGACAGATATTACAGTGTGCTTTTTATACCTCCTGAATCTTAAGGGGAGGTAATTGATGATTTATCAGTACAATAATAATGGTTTACAGATACAAGTCCTTCCTTATTATTGGTTGTCAATTACTGGCATTGCTTGACACTAAAAAAGAAAAAGAAAATGTGCCTTTTTTAGTCTTGAGTGACACCAAGTTGTGAAAAATAATATAATTATTTTAAACACAAACAAATTCATACACACCCGACACATTTTTTGTTATCCCTCTGAGGAAGCCATATAGGCAAAATGCATCTGAGGAAGCCATATAGGCAAAATGCATCTGAGGAAGCCATATAGGCAAAATGCATCTGAGGAAGCCATATAGGCAAAATTCATCTGAGGAAGCCATATAGGCAAAATGCATCTGAGGAAGCCATATAGGCAAAATTCATCTGAGGAAGCCATATAGGCAAAAATGAAGGTGTATATAGGCAAAATCATCTGAGGAAGCCATATAGGCAAAATGCATCTGAGGAAGCCATATAGGCAAAATGCATTATCAGATATTATTTTCAAAAATAATTTCATGAATGTTTTTTCCAAATGTCAATAACTTATAACATTTATGTATTAAATCTACACTTTAAATAAAAATGAATCAATGTTACAAACTACCTTTTGGATCCTAAACTCTAAAACTTAATAAAAATTTTAAGCCTTAGCATGGCAGCCTTTTTTTCCTTGAATCCGAACAGTGCCCTCAATACTGAACATCTTGGATGTTTGGTTTAGAGGAGTTGTACTGTATGTTAAAAGTTACTATATACATGAAAATGAATTAACAAGATCTAATAACAATTCAGTGTAAAAATATTCCATGGGATTCAACTGAAATGTTTAAATAAAAATAAAATAGTGATTTTTTTTAATAAAAAAATGACAGTAAATTTAAATAATTCGTTTTTGTATTTATTTATAATTAAAAACTTTAATATTTTAGAATTTTTAATTTTTATTATGACCCTTACTACTTGCGTCAATAACAAATAAATTTCAGAATAGTCACTGCTGGTTATGGAGACCACAGTTTAGTTATTGAAGAGATCAAAATAAATATTTATTTCCTAAACATTTTAATGGTTTTTTATTGTGCCACTACCTATATATTTTAATGGTGTTTTTTGTTATGCTATTAACAATTACACATTTTAATGGCATTTTTTATTATGTGACTTTCAACTATGCATTTTAATGGTATTTTTTATTATGATACTTTCAACTATACATTTTAATGGTGCTTTTATTAGGCTTCTAAGAACTATGCATTTTTATGTTTTTTTATTATGCTATTAGCAACTGTACATTTTAATGATGTTTTTATTATGCTATTAACAACTATACATTTTAATGGTGTTTTTATTATGCTACTAACAACTATAAATGATAACAAAGTTAAAAAACATTTTGAATTTAGGATGCTTTAAAATTCTTCCTGGAGGATTAAAATGTTTTTCAGGATGGTTCTGGGACAATGATGAAAAAAAAAAGTTAACCTGGAACTCTGATGTCACTATAGTGTCTTACTGTTCACTGCATAACTTTATTTATACCTGTGTAGTAAGGTCTCATCTGTTTTTTTTGTTAAGTTGTATTTACTTTCTTGAGATATTCAAAATAGCTGTTTGCTTTCTGAAGAGAACTTATATATTAAAGAAAAAAATATCAGTGAATCTTTGTCACTTGGGATGTGAAGCAGTCACATTAAACTCGTAATCGTATATTTTTCTTAATGATTATCTCTCTCGTGTGCCAGGCAAGCGACAGTAATAGGAGCTGGGATTTGATATCATTAGCATGAGGTATTTGCCATCAGAGCCATGTTTCTAATGCTTGGTTTTCAGGTCAACCAGCAAAATTATCTAACATAGGCTGGAAATTTATAAATATGCCTGTCAAACATATGCTTGATTTCCAAAAATGCATTGGGGAAGAAGATAGTGGTTGATATGTCAACTGCGCATACTTAAAAAAGAAATAATTGATATTCCATGAAGTTGGGATGATGAATTAATATGTATCGATGTTCTACCAGGAGGAGATGTTATCATATTTGTCACCTTGCTTGGGACCAATGCCCATTGGTGCCAATAGAATTCTAAATAATTGCTTGCCAGTGGGATTACCCATAGCTGTTGCAATCTATCATGTTTTTGTTTTACTGACAAGGTATCTGCATCCTCTGTCTAACCATCTTTGTCCGAAGTGCATTGCAGAAGTTTTGAGATTTTTCAGCATGCTCAGATCTTCATGAATAATTCTATGTACATTTGCAACACCAACTCCAAACTGCCTGCTTATTGTCTTTAGAGACATATGACAATCTTCATCCAGAAAATTGCCAATTTTCTCAATCAGCTCTGATGTTCTGATGTCCATGTCAATATTGTCTCTGTTGTGGAGTGGTTTCACAGTGGAGGCTTGTATTTGTACTAAGTCAATCCTAAAATAGGTTTGACGTACAAAACTAGGAACTTAGGCCATAGGTATAACGCAGAGTAAAATCTAGTTGTGGTCGCTGATACTTTAGTAACTGACTGACTGACCAACTCACTGAGCAACTGACTCATTACTCTTACTACTCCTACTTATTATAGGTGGGAGAGTCTATTAACTATAGAATAGGTGTGTTCCACTATAACAGTCTCCCTCCCACATCGCTCATTGTCTCTCACATCCTCTCCACCATGCTGGAACCTCTTGTACCAGCAGATATCAAATACTCAGCTCATACAAGTTAATCCATAAATAGTCTGGAGCATTTTATACGTTTCTGTAGGATTTTTGCCTCATTTAACACAAATCTTTATTGCATAGCAAACTTCCAAATTGTCTTCACGTCTTGACTGCATTCTGTAAACTTGTGAGCTGTGACAAGCCGTGTTTAGTAAGGTATGTTCAAAGAGATTTCAAAACCATCTCTTTCAATCTGGAATAACAAAAGTTGGTAAGTGAACTTATTAGATGTATAGTAATTATATACTAAAGCTACAATAGTTTAGGCACATTATGATTGTGTCTCCAAAAAAATGTCTCAAAACTTTTTGAATGCACCTCATACAACTCCAGGTGGCTGAGTTTTGAATTCAGAGTTTTCCATCTCATAGACTGTTTGCCAACAACAGATATTAAGATGATCTGATGTGCTGCTAACCATTCAGTCACAAAGAAGCATCTGGTTAGCAATGTCCAAGGTTGCCCTATTTTAAATTGATACTATAAATGCTTGAATTTATATTATTTTTTTTCTCATTACATTTGGATATATATATATATATATATGAAGATTTGTTGTTTATTAACAGTAATTCAGACCAAGTGCTGGAGAAGCACATATTTTTTACAAAATTTCTCAAAAATTCTGGCCAGTAAATGTAAATAATACTGTTTATTTAAAAAACAGCATTTACTTAAATAAATTGTATCTATTAAAAATAATGCATAAACAGAATATATATATATATATATATATATATATATATATATATATAATATTAGGCAACATATATTTTATATATAAAGAAATAATCATACATAGAATCAATCAGCAATATTAATGTGATTAAGGGCGAAATCACTTTGCTAGTAGAACATAATGTATGCATTAAAATACTGTTAATCTATTGAATGGTGTGATCCTCATTTATAAAACTGTTGTCAGATATTTCTAGTGTATATTTTTTTAAGTTAAGCAAGTACTTTCAAAGATCCATGTCTCCATCGTAAGGCTGTAATTTTTTTCTTTAATGTTAAAACTTGAAGATGAAATAATTGTTGAAGATGAAATAATTGTTTGTAGACTCACACATTCCAAGATTGCACAACCGTCAATAAATAGCACATTCTTAAAAAACATCTTTCTCAGTCTTGTGATTCAGATAGAAAATTGGATGGGACAATGAATGAAAGTGGGACCGAAGGACGAATGAAATCTGGATGGGACAATGAATGAAAGTGGGACCGAAGGACGAATGAAATCTGGATGGGACAATGAATGAAAGTGGGACCGAAGGACGAATGAAATCTGGATGGGACAATGAATGAAAGTGGGACCGAAGGACGAATGAAATCTGGATGGGACAATGAATGAAAGTTGGACGGAAAGGACGAATGAAATCTGGGACGGGACAATGAATGAAAGTGGGACCGAAGGACTAATGAAATCTGGACGGGACAATGAATGAAAGTTGGACCGAAGGACGAATGAAATCTGGACGGGACAATGAATGAAAGTGGGACCGAAGGACGAATGAAATCTGGACGGGACAATGAATGAAAGTGGGACCGAAGGACGAATGAAATCTGGATGGGACAATGAATGAAAGTGGAACCGAAGGACAAATGAAATCTGGATGGGACAATGAATGAAAGTGGGACCGAAAGACGAATGAAATCTGGATGGGACAATGAATGAAAGTTGGACCGAAAGACGAATGAAATCTGGATGGGACAATGAATGAAAGTGGGACAGAAGGACGAATGAAATCTGGATGGGACAATGAATGAAAGTGGGACCGAAGGACGAATGAAATCTGGATGGGACAATGAATGAAAGCAGGATGGAAGGCTGAATGAAAACTGGATGGAACAATGAATGAAAGGTTGATTGATGCACAAATGAAAAATGGACGGGATGATGAATGGAAGGACAAATGAAAACTGGATGAAACGATGAAAGAAAGCAGGATGGAAGGATGAATGAAGGCATGAATGAACAAAGAATGAAAACTTAATGAAATAATGAATGAAAACTGTACATGGCAACAAATGAAAGCAGAACATGAGAGTGAATGAAATTTTGACATGTCAATGAATGAATGCAGGATGGGAGAATGAATGAAAGCAGCATGGGAGATTGAACGAAAGCAGCATGGGAGAGTGAATGAATAATGGACTGCATAGCAAATAAAGGCCACACTGGATAATGAATAAAAACTGAACAGGATAATGAAAATACTTCATCTCAAAATTAATAAAAGCGGAAAACCCAAAGACTATATCATCTGAAATATTGTGTTAGAAGACCAAAAGTTAAAGATAACTTGTAAAAATCAGTAGAATGATGAAAGAACATAATCTCAGGTCTTGTAATAATACAGAAAATAACTGAAGACCAATTCTTAAAATGTTGGCTCCCACACAACGTACCTAAGGGTTGTAGTGGTATGTCTGCAAGACCAACACGATTCTCCAGTGGGTTGTAGTGGTATGTTTGCAAGACCAAAATGGTCCTTCGGTGGGTTGTAGTGGTATGTTTGCAAGACCAACACAATCCTCTGATAGGTTGTAGAGTTATGTCTGTAAGACCAACATGATCCTCTGATAGGTTGTAGTGGTATGTCTGCACGACCAAGACAATCCTCCGGTGGGTTGTAGTGGTATGTTTGCAAGACCAACACAATCCTCTGATAGGTTGTAGTGGTATGTCTGCACGACCAACACAATCCTCCAGTAGGTTGTAGTGGTATGCCTGCAAGACCAATATGATCCTCCGGTGGGTTGTAGTGGTATGCCTGCAAGACCAACACGATCCTCCAGTGGGTTGTTTTCCAATTTCTTTTCTATGAGGATTATTGTTTAGTGGGATGATATAATGGATTGTTTATGAGATCATGCTACACCAGAAAGACATTTTTTTCCAAAGAATAAATGTTTTTTAATATGGAAAATGAGTTAGTGTCATGCATATTGGGGATTTTCCAATGTCCCATGGGTGGGACTCTGGGTTGTAAAATGGACTCAGGTACCGAATGACCAGTGGGTCATGGGTAATAAATACTACATATATCTTTGACTCATATATGAAACTGTAGAGTGAGAAGCCATGGTCAAATGCAAAATAAGTAACAGAACTGACAAAGATTGCAATAAGAAGTAAAAGAAAAGAACAGGAAAAAACATTAATATAAAGCAAGCAAAAAATATATGTAAGGCAAATTAAAAGTAATAAGGCAAAGCAACAGTAATAAGGCAAAAATTTCACAAACTAAGAATTCAGGTTAACACAGAAGAGCAAATTCGTATAAGCAAATGTAGTGTTCTGACTCCAAGACAAGACAGACTGGGACTGAGTCATATGAAACTGAGTATCGACGTATTTTATTGGCTAAGAAGAAATCCTATCATGCATTTGTGTGCTTCTGCCTATAAATTGGGGAGTGGCAAGTGTTTAACAATCATTCCCACAAAGATTGAAACCAACAGAAACAATGTTAAAACATTAAGTCACTTGTACCAAAATTAATTTAAGATATAGTGTTGGGACCCTGGAGCAACAAGAGAAAGAAGGCTTGGGAGCCAACATGTTAAGAATAAATAAATCCCATCTAATATAATTGGTTTCTAAAGGATTCAGCAAAAAAACCATTTATTCTTAAAAGTAGTATTAGCTGATACAGATTTGAAATATAAGATGTATGAAAATGTTGGTAATATTATTGAAGTTGCTTTCATTTTCACTGGGAAAACCAAAAAAATGAAATTAAGAAATAAAAACAAATAACAGAACCTCTAAGAAACATTTAAATATGCCCAACCCCATTTTTGCCATTTCCTCTTCCTCTGTAAATTTAGGAAGAGATTCCATTTTGGGAGGGACCAGATAGACAGATTCTTGACATTCTTTTATAGGGAGAAGGATTCTGGGTGTCGGTTGAGGGAGTGTTGTTGTTATGAGGATTATGTCAGTGAGGGTGGCTATGGACTAGAAAAGGAAGCAGACATTTCTCCTCCCGACCCTACACTGAAACAGAAGAAATACAGTCAGGGCCCCCAGGCTTTGGGACAAGTTCATAACTGAGGTAAGAAAGGAGAAAAGAAACTTGGTAGGGGAAGTAAAAAGTAAAGACAAAATGAAAGAAAGAGAAAAATTGAAGTGAGAACTGTAATAAGTAATTAAGAGAGTAAGTAGGAGAGAGAGAGAAAGAAGAAAGAAAGGATACAATATATGGAGAAAGTAAGAGGAAAACAGGAAAATGGAGAAAGTTAAAAGGAGAAGAAAAAACAGGATACAAAGGGGGGAAGAGAGTTAAAACAGAAAAAGAAGTAAAAGAAAGGAGGAGGAGAATTAAAAAGGAGGGTGAATAAAGAGAGGATACAGTATAGGGGGAAGTCAGAGTAAAACAGAAAAAGAAGTAAAAGAAAGGAGGAGGAGAATTAAAAAGGAGGGTGAATAAAGAGAGGATACAGTATAGGGGGGAAGTAAAACAGTAAAAAACAGAAAAAAAGAAAGGAGGAGAATAAAAAGGAGGGAGAATAAAGAGAGGAACGATAGGGGGGAAGTAAAACAGAAAGGAGAACAATATAGGGGAAGGAAAAGGATAAAAAGGGGGAAGGGGAAAACATAAAAAAGAAGAAAAAGAAAGAAGAATTAAAAAGGAGAGGGAGAAAAGAAAGAAAGGATACAATATAAGGGGGAAAGTGAGAGGAAAACAGAAAAAGGCAAAGAAAGGAGGAGGGGAATTAAAAAGGAGGGAGAGAAAAGAAAGAAAGAAAGAAAGGATATAATATAGAGTAGAAGTAAGAGTAAAACAGAAAAAGAAGGAAAAGAAAGGTGGAGGGAATTAAAAAGAAAAGAGAGATAAAACAAAGAAAGAAAGAAAGGATGCAATATAGTGAGGAAAGTAAGAGGAAAGCAGAAAAAGAGGGGAAGGAAAGGAGGAGTAGTATTAAAAACAAGAGATAGAGAAAGAGAGTGGGAGTTTCTATCCTGATTGTCAAAATAGAAGAAAAAAATTAAGGCTTAAAATTACACACACACGCACACACACACACACACACATATATATATATATATATATATATATACATACATATATAGTAAAGGTAATAAATCCATTGGTATATAATCCAAGTGGATCCTAGTAATACAAAATATTAAAACTGATCCATAAAACAGGTCAATGTATTTATTATTATAGTGCAAATAATTAGTACACAATAAAATCCAAAATTATCTCATAAGAGGTAAATTTGAATTCTATTGTGTACTATATATATATATATATATATATATATATATATATATTTATAAAATATAATTTTCTATATATTATATATGTGCAATATTTATTGGAAAGTGCTCAATATCAGTTTGTCTGCTGATCGCAAAAGCGTGAAAACCCCGGATTACAAACTCATATCCAAACAACTGAATATATATATATAAACAAGTTTATATTAAAAGAACTTTCATTAAAAAATTTTTTTTTCCAGTTTTTAGATAAGGTGTTGAGTATTATGTTTGGATAAAATATCCAAAGTTCATATTTTATATTGTTATTCAACTTTCTTCAACTTTATACACACACACACACACACACACACACACACACACACACACATATATATATACACACACACATACATGCATATATATATATATATATATATATATATATATATATATATATATATACACACACATACATGCATATATATATATATATATATATATATATATATACACACACACATATACACATATACATATATATATATATATATATACACACACACACACACACACACATATATATATATATATATATATATATATATATATATATATATATATATATATATATATATATATAAATTTCACAGAATAATTCTCTGGGTAAGACAAATTGGTATAAGTATGAAAATATTAAAAAAATCTTAGTTTATATATATATATATATATATATATATATATATATATAGGTAAATATACGTAGGTATACGAGCAAGCGATCGTATACAAATACATATAAATACTCTATAGTGTAAAATAAACAGTGCTCAATGTGAAGTAACAGACCTACTCAATATATATATATGTATATATTAAGCAATATACATATCTTACATTAATTGCACAACTCAGAGTTTCAATTTTCAAGTGTTGTAATTATAATTACAGCACTTGAAAATTACTTTGGCATGAAACTCCAAGTAGTGCAATTAATGTAAGATATTATGTATATTGCTTAATATATATATATATATTTTCCTCACCAGTATCACAAGACAAGGCGTCAGGTGCTGAATTGTGCATGAAACTCAGAGTTATGTTAGTGGAAAATATGTATATTTATTATTAAAATAAATGATAGCTTTTTTATTATATATCAAGTGTTATTTTATTAGCAACAGTGCTCAAAAGTTGTTTTATGCAATTGGTAAATTTACCAAAGTTCATATTTATTTTTGTTTTATTATTATTTATTATTTTTTGTTCTATCCTAGAAAAAGAAATCCAAACATCCAACAATGAGATCAAATATCTATAAGTGGAAATGAATAAAATAAATATGAACTTTGGTAAATTTACCGATTATATAAAAACAACTATTTACATTATTTATATTATTTGAACTCTTATCTTCATTTTGTTGCCATATTCATGACATTTCCATCATTATACACTCTACCCTTCCTTAGGTGATTGGAACTTTGAACCGAGCTCTTTATTTCATCCACCAGGGTAGCTTATTCTAGTTCCACATGCCACGCCTCTTCCAGATATCTCAGTATCAGTTATCTCCTTTGTAAAAAAAAAAAAACTCTTCAAGTTTTTGTTCACCTATGTTCTAGCCCGGTATTGAACTCACAACTCTTTGGGTCAAGTCACTGGATTCTATTGTCATCTAATGGTCATGGGTTCATTCTTTGGATCTTGTAGTGATGCACCAAAAATGAAAAATAACTGATCACAAGCACAAAATATCAGAATAATCAACAATCCTATATCAGCCAATCAATGAACACCTGATGAGGACCAATGTGTACTCAGTAGAAAT